AAAGGGCTCCAGGGTCACTAAAAAGCTGCACAGGGGCGGAAGGGAGAGGCTCAGGCAGAAGCCCTAACACCAGGGGAACGCCAGAGGCACCCCTCAAGGCCCGCTGGGTCCTGGGGGCTCCTAATTCCTGCTTGATTTTGAGCCTTTCCAGAAACTGGCCCAGGCCAGCCTGCAGAGGAGAGTGAGGTGGCCGCCTACTTCCCGATGCTATTCGCCTCTTATCCGGGAAGTGGCTGGTCAGGGAGTCAGCGGTGGGGTATGGCTGACTGGGCGGAACCCAGGGCCTGCAGATCACCCGCGCCTGGGCAGGTTCTCGTCCAGGACCGTGGCGACCGCGGGGCGTCCTGGGTTTTACCACTTGTCTTGGGGCGGCGTGCAGAGGCCCGGGAAGAGGGCGCGGTTTCCGAGCTGGTTTTGCGTTTGGGAGAGCTAGGAGGCCTCCTGCTTCTCCTCAGTCGACGCCAGAGGACGTGGCCGGGGACCTCCAGAGCCACATCGTCACAAGGCAAACAGGCCCAGAGAGAGGCAGGTGTGGAAGCCCTGCAGATGCGTGTTGTCACTGGAATAATTCCCGTGAATCTGGGGCTCATGGTTGATGGCAATGAGGAGCTAAGTGCACAAAAACAAAACAAAGAAAACAAAACACCAGTGTTGGCTGGTCCTGGAGGCAGGGGATGCTGCGACGATGGCTTTGAAGGTTGCGACTGGAAAAGAGGTTGGAGGGTGGTCCAAGGCTGCCGAAAGGGGTGGCCTTGGGTTTGTTCCCCGATCCCCCCACACTGTTGTAGCAAGAAATGGATCCCCGGGAACCCCCACCGCAGGGCTATACCTGGAACCATGTTGGAGAATCTTTAGCCATTACTTCGTGAAATACTGCTTCTCCCTCTTTGCCGTCTCTCCTTTCATGTGAGGATGCAAGGTCACATAAGACCTTTTCACTGTGGCTAAAATGTCTCTTCTATTCTTATATGTTGAATTCTTTTTATCTCTCTTTAATAGAGAATATTTTCTTCTTTCCTTGGTCCATTTACCAACCTTCTCTTACCCTATGTCCAGAAGTCTTAATCTGAGTTGTTATTTTTCAACTCTAGAATTTAATTTGATACTTTTAATAGATGGCACTTCTCTACTGAAATTCTCCTTGTCTTCTAGTTTCCAACATGTTAATCAAAATTATTTTAAATTGCATGCTTCATAACTCCATATCTGAGCTTTTCAAATTATTAAATCCTAGACATTGTGTTTAAAATACTGTAGAAGTTCTGGCTGCTTTTCCCCAGTGACAGGGTGTTTGCTTTTGTACCGCATCTCAAATGGCTCAGATCACTTTAATCCAATCAGGGGTTGAGGTAACTTTGATCTGGGCTTCAATATTGTAAGGCCTATTTATAGTCAACCCGTTTGTTCTTTTAGGGACTAGGCTTCAGGGACCCCAGCCAAAAACACGGGGTATTTACCAGAGCTCCTTCCTCCCCCTTAGCAGGGTGTGTTTTCCCGCCAATGAGACCCCAGAAAGTGCTGCTTGGTTTTGTCAGCTTTTTACAGATCACTTTCTAACCGGTGTCATACAATCAACTCTATGCTGGTTTTGAACGCGCCAAAACCTGGAGGGAGAAAATGGTGCTAAACAACTCATTTCTGTTTCCCTAGATGCCTTGCTAGCCCCAAATTCCAATTTTTATCTCCTTAGCTATCTGAAACTGCTAGAAATTCAACTCGGCTTCCTTCCCCCTTAACCACCACATACGCTCTGCTTCTCAGCTTCTCTTTTGATGCCAAATATTAATCCACACATGCCTTGAGGGGAGAAAAGGGGTGGAAGTTTGGGTTCCTCTCATTGTGTTTCCCTGTTTTTCTGGTTTTGGCATCTCAAGTCCCAACTGCTCTGATAGCTCTCCTATTCCTTAAAACAAGAGTGTCAAAACACCATTCACTATTCTCGTTGTCATTGGTTGGAGAGTTGGTCAGATAGCTCATAGCCAGAAGCAGAAGTCCTTGAATATTTTTTATTTGCGTATCACTTAATATGTGCTCTTTATGTATCCCAGACATCAATTCTTAATTTGAAGTGTGTATGTGTGTGTTTATTTTCTATTTTGTTAAAGCTTCTTTTTGATTTATAGACATATTTCCTATGTCTGTCATCAAATCTATTAGTCTTTTCCTTGCATTAAATGCTTTAAAAAATTCTTCCCTTACTTTCTTCAGACATTTTTCTATTTTCTCCTTTGTTTTATTTTTGTTTAAGCTTCACTTTTAAATTTATCTAAATTTAATTTTGGTGCATAGAATGTTAGGGAACTAACTTACTTAAAAAATATTTAACAACTATTTGTTGAATAAAACATTTTTCTCTACTGCGTTGGAATTTCACCTTTTTCGTATAGGAAATCATTGTACTCTGATTTGTTTCTGAGCTCTCATTAATATCATTATTATTGCACTTGTAATTTACTGTTTCAGTTGTTCAACTGTAGTCATCCACTTAAGATTCAAGTACTTTCCCAAAAGTTTTATTTGTCAGTTTTGTCTTGGCTGTTCATGTCACGAATTCCTTGCCTACGGTGTCAGAAGTGATTTCTATCTAGACTAAAGTAGTAACCGTGGGGATACAGAACAAGAATAGAATGAGTGACAGTGAGGGATTGAGGGATTCAGAGACCAGAAATGGCTTCTCCCATGATGCAGCCTTCTGGCTTGGGAAACTGGTAGAAGGGTAGTGTCATTAACTAAGATTGGTAATATAAGAGAATCAGATTATAGTGGAAACCAAGGGTTATCTGTTGAAAGAACAGAAGCAGGGATAGCATAGATAACTAAGATACAGGTGATGTTTCAAAAAGGCTTTATTGGCTAGTAGGATAGAAAGTTGATTTGGGAAAGTTAAAAAACAAAAATAAAAACAAACAAAAAAAGCAAGTAAAATCTAGCTTGGAGTAAGTATGAAATGAAATTGGTTGTGGCACCAGTTCTAAAAGATGTAGGATTTTTAAGGAGCCATCCACAGCAGCCTTTTTTTATATGATCTGCAATGTGAGATATGCTTTTAGGCTGTAAACAGTATTTGCAGCCAACTGAAGAGCCTGAGCTTGCAGGAGGCAGACTGATCAAGTTTGGGAGATTTTTGGGACAAAATAGTTCCAAGTGAGGAATTAGAAGCTACTAGTTAAAAACTATGAATAGGACCCCATAAATTCTAGTTTTGTAAAGAAAGAAATGAAGCCAAGCAGATTATTGCAAATGTCAAATATGATTTGAGCTGAAAGAGTTTTGTAACCTCTATATCACAATAAGGTTGTGTTTTTATTGCTTGGTCATTTATGTGAAGGGAATGGTGGAGCTGGGGTGAGCCCTGACCCCCCCCTGTCTAGCTATACTTTGCAGCCTGAAGCTATAACAGTTTCCCAACAAAGAGCCAAGAGTCCCCAGTTTATAAGGAGAACGTGCAGCTTCTTAGTATCTTTCACCTGTATCTATACTAACTAGTCTTCCTTTATTTGTCCTTAAAGAGACTTAGAAAACATCAACTTGAGGGACGCCTGAATGGCTCAGTTGGTTAAGCGGCTGCCTTTAGCTCAGGTCATGAGGATCTAGTCCTGCACGGGGGCTCCTTGCTCAGCAGGAAGCCTGCTTCTTCCTCTGCCTGCAGTTCCCCTGCTTGTGCTCTCTCTCTTTCTCTGACAAATAAATAAATAAAATCTAAAAAAAAAAAAAAAGAAAGAAAATATCAATGTGAGTTATATAAACTAGGTATAAAACATTGTGCTAAATACAAAGAATAGAGGGGGGGGAATTTTTTTTAAAGATTTTGTTTATTTATTTGACAGACAGAGATCACAAGTAGGCCGAGAGGCAGGCAGAGAGAGAGGGGGAAGCAGGCTCCCCGCTGAGCAGAGAGCCCCATGTGTGCTCTATCCCAGAGATCACAACCTGAGCTGAAGGCAGAGGCTTTAACCCACTGAGCCACCCAGGCGACCCTGAGAGGGGGAATTTTTAAGGGATCTGTTTCAACAAGGGTTCTCTCGCTTCTTTGACTTTGGACATGTCCCTCTCCCCACTATTTGGACCACAGAATCCGAAATGCAGAATTTTAGTCTGGGGAGAAATTGCTTGATTCATTGACTCCGTCTGCTTTTTTTTTTTTTTTTTCATTTAATAATTGAGCCAAATGAGGAACAGAGACAATAAGGCTCAAGTCATCTATACATCTAAAGAGAGTTAAACCCAGGAAACCCAGTTTCCTTACAACAGATTTAGATACTTTCACTATTCTGTAGTGATTAGAAAATATGTATTAACCTACTGGATTAACTTACTGTATCATTTTGCATATTGTGCCCCTCCCCCACCCTCCTTTAAGATTCAGCAAAATTTTTAATGTGGAACAATAAAAAGTGGTTTCGATCCTCTCTCTTCAGAGTATCAGATTTCTCAAAAAAGCTGACACAGAGCACTTTTGTAACCAAATTTAATGTGAAAGCACTGAGAGTATGCAAACAAGGCACAAAGCCAAACTTTAGAAATGAGCTAAAGACATAAAGAATTAACATGGTGCCATTTTAAGATTTGACTCTAGTCCTGTATTCCTATTCTTTTCTGGTTCAAAAAGCCACATGCAGCCCTAACTCCCAACAGTCTTGCCAGTGTTGTAGAGGCGCACCTGGGCTGGCAACAGACAGAGTGAGCTACTTACCAACTCTTGTTTTTTTTTGGCATTGTCTGTTCAGACATGCTCACTGCTCCCCCCATCCTGTTCTGCTTCAGTGTCAGAAGGAAATGAAGCCACAATGAGAACAAAAAGAGCTGTCACACCTTTTGTCCCCTGCCTCCTCCTCTTCTCCTCACAGTCCTCCCCACACAGAGTTACTCCACCCTAGTGGGACTCTAGTGCGACATCCTTGCCTGCCCGAAGGAGGAATGATCAGCAAGGACAACAGCTGCAAACAAGTGACACCCAGAAGGCAGGAGCTTCTGTAAGTGCTTGGACTGTGCAAGACCCAAGCCATGGCATTGTCGCTGGAAGAGTTCGTTCACTCCCTTGACCTCAGGACGCTTCCTAGGGTCCTAGAAGTCCAGTCAGGCATCTATTTTGAAGGTAAGCACCCTCTTCTCCCTTGGCTGCTAGAAACTGCTAATAAGGTATGCACTTTTGGGAACTGGAAGGAGAAATTTTAATAGACAATATGTGAGTTCTGTTGAAAGAAAGGTAATCACAAAAGAGAGAAAGTAATTAACGGACAGGTGGTTACAATCCCAGAGTGCTAGAGAGAAGAAACTAGATAGGACTCTGGGGTAGGTAAGGGAAAAGGAATTAAGTGAAGCTTTTTGAGCTTTTTTGTAGGCCTCTTAACAGTCCAACATGTCTCTTCTTTGAAGTGGGTTATACTCCAGGAATGAAGAGTTACTATGCATGTTTATATCTCTAGAATATGCAAAATAAAATTTAGTGTTTTTTTTTTTTTAATAAAACAGCTATTAAAAACACAGTGTTTAGAAAGAAAAACTAACCAAACTCTTAACCTCTTTGCAGTGTTGCTTATGCCAACATTTCTCTCACTTTTTCTGTAGTGGTCTAACTCCTCTAATTCCTTAAATAATGACATTCTGATTTGAAGGCATAGAAATTAATATCTGCTAATCGAAGATGATTTGTAAGAATCTATGTTGAAAAGTTAGAGTTCAGCTAAGATTCTTGAATAATAAGTTAGTGTGTTTTGAGGTGACTTACTGTGTTAATTCAGTAAAAGAATGTTAAATCCTACGGAACATACCCTAGAATCTTTAAGGAGTGAGTTTGAAAACATGTAAGACAAAGAGTTATTTTCTAGGAAAATACATGTTTCTAGTCACAAGAGTGGTAGAATTAGATTCAAAAAAACTACTGGGAAATTAAGTTAAATAACTGTTGGTAGGCAAATCTGTCCTACTCATAGACAAAATCGTGTTTTGGATATTATATTATGAAATAAAGATTGACAAATGTCAGATCTAGCTTATACACACATACACACACTCACCTGCTGTCATCATCAGTTTGACATAGGGTTTTGTTGAATTCATTTGTAAATCGATTATGTGGAATCAGACCATATTATGAAATATATCTTTGTTCCTAAGCCGACCCCAAATCATTTTTTTTTTGGTCTCATGGTTTGTGCTTTTGAAGCTTTGCATGAGAAGTTACAAAGATATTTTTCTTTATTATTGTATATCAACTTTACAGTTTTATATTTCTCATTTAGTTTTTAATCCACTTGGAAGACACTTTGTGATACATTGTAGAGCGATCCAATTTTAGATTTTTCCATATAATAAACCTGATTTCCCAGTACCATTTACTAAGCTAGTCATCTTTCCCAATTGATTTGTGTTGCTACTTTAAATCATATTATGGGCTCACATCTGGATCAGTCTGTCTCTGAAATATTTCTTCTACTCCACTCGTCTTTTTTTCAGTTGTTCTCAAATCACCCTATGTGTGTAACAATGGTTCCAGGCTAAGCGTGTAATATATTTCATGTATAGACCAGACCCTTGTTTTTATGCCTTTTTGCTAAGTTGACTTAGCTATTCATAGATGTGTAATTGTGTTTTCAAAGAAATTAATTTTGTTACTGAAGAAATGCTACTAGAATTTTAATCAGGTTGTATTGAGTTTATAGATTAACTTGAGAAAATTTGACATTTTTATATTAACTCTTATAAAAGAAGATAGCTTATTTCTCCATGTGTTCTGACTATCATCATTCTTAAATGTTTTACTACTGTATTATACTTCAATTAAGAGAAAAGAATGTACAGGGGCACCTGGGTGGCTCAGTTGGTTAAGCAACTGCCTTCAGCTCAGCTCATGATTCCAGGGTCCTGGGATGAGCCCTCTGTCAGGCTCCTTGCTCAGCAGAGAGCCTCCTTCTCCCTCTCCCCCTGTCTGCTGCTCTGTCTGCTGCTATGCCTGCTGCTCTGCCTGCTTGTGCTCTCTCCCTCTCTCTCTGTCAAATAAATAAATAAATAAGAAAGAGAAAAGAATATACAGTTTGATGAGTTTTCACAAAGTAAACACATTTATACAGCCAACACTCAAGTCAAGAAATAGAAAATTGCAAATATTCTAAAAGCCCCAGTTTGTGCCCTTTCTCAATCATTATCTACCATCCTCCCCAAAGGTAACCATTATCCTGACTTTTGTCCATTTATTAACTTTACATAAATGAAAAAATTATAGTATGTGTTCTTCATTGGTTGGCATATATATTCAACATTATCTTTGTAAAATCCATCCATGATGTTCTATATAACTTATTCATTTCAATGTGTATAATATTCTCTTAGTTAACTATACCACAATTTATATATCCATTCTATTGCTCATGGGCATTTGGATTATTTCCAGTTTGGAGCTGTTACCAGTAATGTTGTCATGAACATTCTTGTACAAGTGTGTTCACATGTCTATACATGTGTGTTCACAAGTCTGTGCATTTACCTAGGTATATACATAAGTGGAATTGCCATGTCATATGGTATGTGTATGTTCAGCCTGGATAGATAACGTAAAACAGGTTTTCAAAGTAATTATACTAATTTGCATTCCCACTAGCAGCGTGTGTTTGGGAGTCCCAAGTGATCTGCGTCTTTGGCAATACACTCGATGTTATCAGTCTTCATGATTGCAGTTATTCTGATTAGAGTATAACGGTAGCTCATGGTTTGAGTTTGAATCTCTCCAGTGACTAATGAGATTGGTCACATTTTCATATGTTTATTGGCCTTTTGGAAATACTATTTTATTTTTTTTAAGGATTTTATTTTTATGTGATCTCCACACCCAACTTGGGGCTCAAACTCACAAATCTGAGATCAAGTGTTGCATGCTTCTCTGACTGAGCCAGGGGCCCCCAGAAATGCTATTTTATGAAAACATTTTTCATGTCTCTTGCTCATCTATTTATTGGATTTTGTAACTTCTTTTTATTGATTATACACACACACTTACATATGTATCTATGTATATATATAGAGTGGGTCCTGACCTTTTGTCATCAACTTGTGTTGCAAATAGCCTCTCTTAGTCTATAGATTGACATTTTATTTTTTAAATGGCAGCTTTTGATGAATGTAAGTTTTTAATTTTAGTGTAAGTGTAGTCAGTTAATAATTATTTTCCTTTTTGTGTGTTGTCAAAGAAGATTTTCTTTAAGCTCATGAAGATGTTCTCTTAGCATCTATCCCATTTGTTTACTCCCTCCTTTAGATCTGCAGTCTACTAGAATTGATATTTTTTGTATATGATTTGAGATTGAAATCACTGTTTATTTTTTTCTTCTATAGAGGCAATTGGTGCAGTGACTTTGATTGAAAAACTGCCTTTTTCCTACTGCCTTACTGTGCTATATTACTCATAAACAGTGTCCATACATGTGTGGGTGGGTCTCTTTCCATAGCTTCTATTCTGTCCCATTCGACTAATTGTTATCCTTACATTAGTTTCACCCTATCTTAATTAATGCACGTTTGGAATAATACATAATTTATATTGTATATGATAATATGCTGCAAGGGCTGTGGCTCTCAAATTTGGATGCACATGAAACACCTGGAAAATATAAAAAAATAACAATGCTGGATCTCTCCTTAAAGATAAGGATTTAATTATGTAAAAGATACAGTATCACCATCAGGTTTTGGAAAATAGCCCTGATGACTATAATATGCAGCCAAATTTGAGAATTATACTATGGAATAAGTTCTTCTAATTTATTATTCTCCTTCAAGTTGGGCAGTTTGAATTTTCGTATACACTTTAGAATTAACTCATCAACTTTCACAAAAGTCTTCTTGGCATTTTCTTAGCAATGCCTTGCTTTAGAGAGAATTGGCATCATTTTAAATTAAGTCTTCTGACCCATAAACCTGGTATAGCTATCTAGTTATATAGATCTCCTTTCATTTTATAGCTTTTTTTTGTGGAGTTCTTATACTTCCTTTTATTCTTAATTTGACTTTTTCATTCCATTATAAATAATATATTTTGGAGACTTTCATTTTCTCTTTGTTATGTTTTTTGAATTCTAAAAATAATACCTTTATGTTATTTTGGATTTGTTATGTACATATTTATTATTATATGAATATTGATGGATCTTATTTCTTCCTTCCAATTATTGTATTTTTTTTTCCTTCAGTTAAGGAACTGACTAGTGCTTCTACTATAATACTGAATAGGAATAATGATAAAAAAATCACAACCACAGAGAGATTTCAGTAATTCATCCTGAAGTATGTTTTAAGTTAAATAAGTTTCCATTTTCTGATAATTTTTTAAATCATGAATATCTGTTTAATTTATCACATAATCTTTCTGTGACTTTTGTGATGATTATATGTTTTTTGTATGTATTGATTTTTAAAATGTCGAATAAGCCTTTTCCCTGTGGAATAAAACTAACTTGGTCATATAGCACTAAATTTGGTTTACTAATTTTTTTTCTTTTAGGATTTTTGTATCTCTTTTGGAGAATGAAATTAGCTTATAATTTTTATTTCTTATAGTGTCCTAACCATGTTTTTGTACTGAGTTATGTTGACATTAACAGAATTTCTTGGATGGAGTCTTCTAAAATATGCAAATTTAGTGCTACTTCTCATTTAAATATTTAGTAGACTTCCACATGAAGCCATTCTGACCTGGGATTTCTAATATAGAGATCTTTTAATTATGATTCAGATTTTTAAATAGTAAGGTCTTCCTATGTGCGAGCATAGTTTCTCTTTCATTAAAATAAAAACAAAACCCATCTAGATAAAGTATTAGAGTTCAATAAAATGTCTCCTAGATTAGTTCCTAGAATCCACACATGTAAACATATATATATGTATTGCTATATTGACTGCTAATCATATTTCTTCTGTTTTCTTATGGACTATCACTGATATAGAGGAATCAAGTAAATATCAGTGGTACTGATGAACTCTTATTAATTCTAATAGTTTATCTTTTTTATTGTGTTGGTTTCCCTAAAACCAATAGATACTGATACCAGTAGAAAGTATCAAGAGTTGCATCTCTTTCCTACTGTTTTGCAACCTTTTCTTCCC